TCTTCTTGATGTATAATATGCATGAAGAAAAATACTCAAAGTTAAAATTACCCCACATCAGCAAGCCCCAGATTAAGAGAGAGAATGTTTTTGGCGCCCCAGAATCCCACCACATACCCTGCTCCCAGGCACTACCTACCCTCACCACCAACTGTGACTGGGCCTCTGTCAGTAGACATGGGTTTTGCCTGTTTTTGAATTTTCCAGTCTGAACTCTTCCCCGTACTTCAATCATGGCATTTTGCATGAAAAATTGAAATTTTCTCCTGAATAGTCAGGGATCTGATGAGTTTGGACCTTCATTTCCAGCAAGGTACAGATAACCTAGAGCAGAATTATGCCCCCCGCCCCCTCACAGCCCCACCGTCACCCAAGCTGGAAACCCTCCCTGTTCCTGTGTCTTGCCAGGAGGCTTTTGTGTTGGTGACTCCAGCTGTAAACCTGTGGCTACTTCCCTGATCTTTAATTTGTCCCCCAAAGGAGTCGTTGTATGTACACTAGGGAGTGCATCTGGAGTCATCTCAGTCCCTCCATCAGCATCAAGTGCCCTCTGAGGTAAAGATCATGAGACTTTGTAACAGGTGAGGAAAGCAGCACCTCAGAGAGGTGAAGCCACTTGCTCAGGGTCACACAGCATTCTGAGTGTCAGATTCTGCATTTGAACCCCATTGGCCTAAATCTAAACCCCAGGCTCTTGTCACTTCCCCACATGACTCCCCTGGGCATCCAGGCCCAGGCGCGAACAGTCCCCTCCTGCCTCCTTCCAGCAGGGAGGAAGCTGGACTTTTTCCAAAGGAAACGCTGGGAAACACAAAACCCCAAACAGAAAACAGGGCAGGGATGGTTCCCAGGCCCCAGCTGCCTCAGGGGTGATGCAAGTCTAGTCAGGGCTGGGCTGGTCTGAACTGGTGTGGCCTCCCCAGATGCATCAAGGGAGGGTGGCAGCGTGCCACTTGCTGAGTGTCCACCACATGTCAGGCACTTCATAGATGTCATTCCTGGTACTCAGAATGTGCCTGTGGGGTGGGTAGTTAGCCCCATTTTACAGATGAAGAAACTGAGGTTCAGAGAGGTAGATGTCCTGCCGTGGTCCACAGGTCCCTGAGTGTCTAGGTTGGATCTTGAATGAACTGAGGATGACTTCCTGCTCTTTGCCACCCTGGCCCCACCCTTGTCCTTCGCTGCTCAGTCCCCTTATCTGAACCACCTCCACACCCCTGTTTTATGGGAGGAATGGCCAGATGCTTCCTCTTGGGTCTCAGAGATTCTGGGGTCTGGCTGGCCTGGCTTGAGGCCAAGTTGCAGGAGCCACTTTGGTAGTTCTCACGGCCTCAGTTTCCCCAACTGGAAAGTGGGGGTGATTTTACTACTTCTGTTACTACTGGGGGGTTCAGCAAAGCCTGCGGTCTTTTGAATCTGGAAGAACAGTCAGTGCCCTAATAGAGGATGTGCAAAGGTTCTGAGGCCAGAAAGAACTGGATCCGCTGCAAGTCTGTGTGGCTGGGTCATTGCCAGGCTGCAGTGGGGCTGCAGGTCCGGGCGGGAGTCTGACCACAGGGCCCTGGAGGTCAGGTTGAGGAGAGTGCCCTTGGGCAGTCAGTTTGATTTCTAGGAAGAGCTCTGTGGCTGTGGTGAGGGGTGAGACCAGAGGCGGGAGGCCAAGTGACGAGGCCCTTGGGTTTCAATATCCCTTTTGTATGGAATGAGGCTGGGCGGTCCGCGGAGCAGACCTTATCCTCCAATTTCCCATAGAGGTTGTGTTTCCAGATTCAGGGTTTCATGTTACACAGAGTTATTCTTTCTGGAATGTGTCCCCCGAGCAACCCCGCTGGACCCTCTGTGGAAGGAGGGGCTCTTGTGAAGGCAAGATGCACATGTATGCAGAAAAGCACAGCCCCCGGAGCCCGGGCTCAGCAGTAGTCTGTCCCTGAATCGGTCCAGCCTGGATTGGGACAGGCTGCAGACAACAACAGCGATAGTAAACCAAGTTTTACTGGGGACTTGCTCTACCCAGTCCTAGGTGAAGCCTCTGCCATCAGTGACCTCACGGGACCCCAAGAGGACCCCGAGAGTAACTGTCATGGGGCCCATTATTGTACAGACAGGGAAAGCCTTGCCCAAGGCCCCTGAGCAGCCGAGCTGCTGCCCTTGACATGTACCAGCCTCAGAAGGGGGTGTGAGGGGCTGTTGTTGAGCTCTGCAAGGTCCAGGCGTCCTGGCCCCCATTCCCAGTGGGCAGAAAAGCCAGGAAATCCCACCTCCGTGCCCAGCCTCCACCCGGCTGCAGACCATGCCATCTTGCCTGGCTGTTCCCCCTGGAAGAGCTGGCCATGTGGGCTTTCCCAGACCCAGCGGAATCCTCCCCATGGCCTCTCCCTGGCCTCGTCTCTGCCTCCCTCCCCTTTGCTCTCCACGGGCCTCGCCAAGCCTGCTTCTCATTTCAGCTTCTTGGAGTGGCTGTCCCCTAGCCAGAGAGGCTTTCTCCACTCTCTCCCGGCTTCCTCCTGTTCATCCTGCCTGTCTCCTTGCAAATGTCACCTCCTCCCAGAAGCCTGCCTCCCCTCCCAGCTAGATCCGGTCCACCTCCTCCACGTCCTCAGCCATCTCTCCTTCAGGGTGAGTGGGGTTCCCTGCCCCCTTCACCCCTCTGTCTCCAGGACTAAGCCAGGAAGGGTGAGGAAGGAGTGAGGAATCGGATCCAGGAACAACTTGGGGGAAATTTCCCCTCCTTTGTGTTCTGGCCGTGTGGTGACATTGACAGCAGCAGCGCAGAAATGAGCCCGTGTGCTGGATGGGCCCAGCACTCTACAGCGTCACTGAATCTTCATGACAGCCTTAGTGGAAGGGACTGCTACCGTGCCTGGGCTATAGACGGGGAGTTGCAGCTCACGCAGGTGGAAGCACATGCCTGGGATCACAGAGGGACTGGCTGGTGGAGCTGGGATTGGAGCCTGTATCTCTCAGAGACCAGGCTCCTCCTCGATGCAGATGCATTTGTGTCCATCCATGGACGGTGACCAGATCTTTGCCAGCTGTCAAGGTCCCAGTGCTGTACACGCCCCAGAGAGAAGCCTGCCGGGTGGGTTGACAGCATCCCTGCCCGCCATGTGGGCTGCCTATTTGGGACCCAAACCCATTTGGGCTCCTCTCAGTTGGGGGTCCTCTCAATTGGGGGACGGTGGCGCACGGCACGCGGCCCCTCCTCACCCTGCTCAGGCAGTTTAGAGCCAGCTTACCAACAGGTTCTTGGAAGAAGGAGTGTTGAGAAGAAAATGCCACTCAAGCCACTGTTGACACCAAGAGGGGACAACAGAAAACATCAGAAGCACAACAGCCCGTCCTGCACTGCTGTCCTTCTGTTTTGCAAAAGGAGCTTCCCAAAGCTTGTATTTATACGTTTATTTGTGTTTTTTGGGTGCTGGGGATTGAAGCCAGGGCCTCATGCAGCTATGCGAGTGCTCTACCACTGAGCTACACCCGCAGCCAAGTTTTATTTTTATTTATTTATTTAATATGAAAAATTTTTAAATATGGAAAATTTCAAACTTATATAAAAGGAAAATAATGTACCCATCACCCAGCTCTGTCACCCATTGTTAAAATTGCCCAACAATTTTAACTCAGGCACAATCTAGTTTCACCTCTATCTTGGAACTCTAATTCTCTTATCCCAATAGAGGTTTTTTTTTTTTTTTTTTTTTTTTTTGCAGTGCCAGGGAAGGAACACAGGGTCTCATACATGCCAGGCAAGTGCTCTACCGTGGAGCTACATCCCTTGCTCCCAACAGATTATTTTAAACCAAATCCCAGACACTATAATATCTCATTTAAGACAATTTCAAAATATATTTTCAAAAGATACGGAAATCTTTTTAAAAAATAGCCATGGTATCATTATCATACCTGGAAAAATCATCATCAAACCTACCCAAGGTTTTAGCATTTCCCTGCCTGTCTCAGATGCGTCCTGCGCCTTCTGCAAGGTCTATGTATCTCCCCCGCCTCCCCCGCCCTGCAGTTCATCTGTTGGAGAAACCCAATTGTTTGTCCTGCAGCCTTCTCCCCACCTGGATCTGCTGCCTGGATTCCTGTGGGGTCCTTTAACATGTGTGTCTGCCGCTGTATTTCCTGTAATTAGATCTAGAGACTTGATCAGATTCAGGTTCAATTTTTGGCAACGATTCTTCACAGGAGGTGCAGTGTCCTTCCGTCAGGAGCTCATGACATCTTGCTGTCTGTGTGTGTGTGTGTGTGTGTGTGTGAAGTTGGCTGTGGCTGATGTTCATTGATGAGGTTTATTGATTCACTCAGGATCACACAATTTCATTTATTAGCTAGAATAATTGAAAAAACAGCAATGTGTCCTTATTAACACTTTTTTTTTTTTGCGGGGGTGGGGGGGCGGGGATACCGGGGATAGAACTCAGAGGTATTTAACCACTGAGCCATACCCCCAGCCCTTTTTATTTTTTACTTTGAGAAGGCTAAGTTGCCTAGGACCTCCCTAAAGTAGCTGAGGCTAGCTTTAAACTTGTGATCCTCCTGCTTCAGCCTCCCGAGCCACTGGGATCACAGGCGTGTGCCACCACACCTGGCCAATACCCGCTGCCATTCTTGTGACATTCCCCTTGGGCCGGAGAGGACTTCTCTGGTTTGCCTTCTGAGGCCTTTGGTCCCTATAGAATCGTCTGGCTTCTTTGCTTTCTGGAATAGCAAGTTGCTCTTGACAAATCTTGTACATTTTCCGTTCCAGCTGAGAAACCGTCATTTCTCAAAGGAGTCTCGGCTTCCTTGACTGAGGAATGGGGTGCAGATACCACAGTTAGGTTTAAGCACTGTTTTCTGCTATTGGGTTGGTCCTGGTCTCTGGGATTTTCAGTGAGGAGAGTGGGAAATGCACTATTTACTCTGGCATTGGGGGTCGGACCCAGGGGTACTCTGTCACTAAACTGCATCCCCAGCCTTTTAATTTATTATTATTATTTTTTAATCTTGAACAGGTCTTGCTAAACTGCTGAGGCTGGCCTTGAACTTGTGACTCTCTGACCTCACCCTCCCCAGTACCTGGGATCATAGATATGCACCACTGTGCCTGGCTTGAAATAAATTAAAAAAAAAAAATCAAATACATCGTGAGTCCTGATTCCAAAACTGGGAAGCAACCCAGATGTCCTTCAACAGGTCAGTGGGTTAACTAACTGTGGTACACCCATACAGTTCAACATTATTCAGCTATAAAAAGAAATGGCCTTGAATACATATTGCTAGGTGAAGACGTCTATCAGTATGATTCTAATTATGTGATATTCTAGAAAAGGCAAAACCAGGGAGTAAGAAATCAGTGGTCGTCAGGTGTTGGGAGGGAGGCAGGAGGGCTTATCCACCTATTTGGTGGAGCATGGGGGAATCTTTAGAGTAATGAAACTATTCTGTGTGACACTACAGTAGTCCTCCCCTACGCTCCTAGTTTTAGTTACCCATGGTCAGCTGTAGTTCAAAAATATTAAATTGAAACTTCTCCAAAATAAACAATTTTTAAGTTTGAAATTGCATTCCATTCTGAGAAATCTCATATTTTCCTATTTTGTCTCTCCAGGACATGAATCATCCCTGGGTCCAGTGTATCCACACTGTATATGCTACCCACTGGTTAGTCACTTAATCACCAATGTGATTATCAGATTCCCTGTCATGGCATTGCAGTGCTTGTGCTTGAATACTCTGTGCCACAATGCCTACTTCATTCACCCCCGTTCATCTTGTCACTAGCCATTGTCTCGTCATACATCATCACAAGAAGGGTGAGTACAGTACAGTTAAGATATTTTGAGAGACCACATTCACATCACTTTTATTACAGTCTGTTGTTCTGATTGTTCTACTTTATTATTAGTTATTACTGTTAATTTCTTATTGTGCCTAATTTATAAATTATTAATTTACAAATTAAACTCTATCATAGGCATTCATATGGGGAAAATTATTTATACACACACACACACACATACACACACGTGTATATTTCAGTACTATCTGGAGTTTCAGGTATCTGCTGGGGCTCTTGGAATGTATCCCATGGATAAGGGGTCACTAGTGTATAAGGTAGATAAGTGTCCTTATGTATTTGTCAAAACCCATAGAAACACAGGGTTCACACTCAGTGTAAAATTTAACTTCAGTTAATAACAATGTATCAATATTGGCTCATAAAGTGTAACAAGCTTACTCCATTGATGGAAGAAGTTAACAGTAGGGGAGAGGGAGGAGAAGGAATATATGGAAACCGTACTTTCTGCTCAATTTTTCTATAAACCTAAAATTGCTCAAAATATAAGTATATTGATTTATTTTTTTTAAATCATGAGGTCATAACAACACTTCTTACTTGAATTCAGGACTACAGTATTTTTGCCTGACTTACATCTGTATGTCCTTTGTCTTATGAGAAATGACCTTTCTTTTTGCTTCCATTTGCTGGGAGCCACTTAACATGCATAGCATGCTGAGCTAATACCAACCTCCATCTCCTCATCCATGGGGGCTGCTCTAACAAAATACCTTAGACTGGGTAATTTGAAAGCAACAGAAGTTTATTGCTCACAGTTCTGGGGGCTTAGAAGTTCAAGATCAAGGCAGCAACAGGTTTGTTATCTAGTGAGGTGCTCCCAGGCTCTGCTTCCAAGATAGGGACTTCTAGCTGCATGCTCTCATGGAGGAAGGGCAAAGGACAACTACGCTCCCTCAAGCCTCTTATGGAAGACCATCGATCAAGTTCCTGAGGACGGAGCAGCCCCCTGATATGATCCCTTCTTAAAGGCCCCCCTCTTGACACCAGGTTGCAGGTTAGCTTCCAACGTGGATTTTAGTGGGACTGACACAAAATATTCAGGCCACCGCACACCAACGGTACTAACTTTTTTTTTTTTCTTGCAGCTGAGTCAAAATTCCTATTTCAAAATCACTTGGAGTAATTCTTCTCTATGGTGCTAATGGTACCAACTTGCCAAAAGTTGGCTTTTTTTTTTTTAATTTCTTGGGCTGGGGATGTGGCTCAGTGGTAGAGTGCTTGCCCAGGATGTGTGAGGACCTGAGTTCAATCCCACTGCTACAAAAAAAAAAAAAAAAAAAAAAAAAAAAAAAAATTGATATTCAGAATTTCTTTTTAAACATTTCATGTCATTTTATAATATTGTCTCCAAACAGCTTCTAAAAACAAGGAATATTATATGTATTCTTTCTGCTCTTCTTCCCTATTCCCTATTGGTACTGGGGATTGAACTCAGGGGCACTCAACCACTGAGCCACATCCCCAGCCCTATTTTGTATTTTATTTAGAGACAGGGTCTCACTGAGTTGCTCGGTGCCTTGCCTTTGTTGAGGCTGACTTTGAACTCGTGATCCTCCTGCCTCAGTCTCCAGAGCCGCTGGGATTACAGGTGTGTACTCCCGGCCCTTCCTCGAATTTTTACTGCTTCAAGGTTTTGGTTTGTACTTAAATCCATTTTAAAGTTTAATAAATGCTTCTGTACTTCTTAGATAAAAGTGAGAATAATCTAGACATTCTTCTCCAAATTATAAACCAAATTTCCTTCTAGTCAAACTCCAGATATTTTCAGAGGATAGCTGAACTCAGACTTTGTACATCATCATAATCTACCCCAATGTTTGTTTTGTGTGTGTGTGTGGGGGGGGTGCTGGAGATCGAACCCAGGGCTGTGTACATGTGAGGCAAGTGCTTCACGGCTGAGCTACACCCCAGCCCCAATCTACCCAATTTGAAATGCATTATTTCTACTGTTACAAGAGCCTAGTATATATCCAGGTATCATATAAAGGACTTTCTACATGTTAAACGAGTTTTCAAACAACACTGTGGAGTGGGTATTACCCTCATGTTTTGCAGAAGGGGAAACTGAAGTCAAATAAGCTGGGATATGAACTCATCTATCCCAGGAACTGGGGTACAGAGATGACCCAGAGGGTCCTGACCTCATGGGGTTCACATCTAGTGGGCTACTCATGCCTGGGCAGACAACTGTGGTCTAGGAGTGTCTGTCTGTCCACCTACTGTACAAGGAGTTCCTCAAGGGAACCTGTGTCTGGTCCACTCTGATTGGCGGCCCAGCTCAGCAGAACTCAGTGCATGTTTGTTGAATGACAAAACAAATAAAGGAAGAGGGAAGTTAAAAGGAAAACAGAACTCGAGGTGGTAATGGGAGCCGTATGCTCCTTAGACTTGGAAACATTTGTAAAAATTATAATGACTTTTAAATTATGAATATAAAGTACTTTGTTATAGAAAATTTGGTAAGTGTAGAAAATGAGAACATAAAAATAATCATAATACCAGCTTTCAGAGTTAGTCTTTTTGTTTATTCCTTTGGTCTTCCTTATATATGGCTAGTCTTTTCAAAAAACATTTGGATCATATATATATATGATATGCAGTTTGCATTTTTAAGAAAATCACTAACAATCTATCATGAACATTTTCCTAATTGAACATCCACTTAAGCCTAAGTGTCTACTTAGGGTTTGGATTTACTTTCACCAGTGATGTCATCCTTCACCGTATAAAATAATTATAAACTCAAGATTAAGGCTGAACTCGCAACAGGAAGAATATGCAGCAGCCCTGGAGACAGAGCTCTGTTTCTTAGCTCTGATTGCATAACCCTTTCCCAGCAAATGCCAGGAAAATGTGGAGAGGACATTAGCCGGGGGGCATCTGCCGTCCTCAGCCCTTAAATACTGGGAGCTGCGTCCTCCGCACGTCCACTTTCTTCCAGTTCTGATCTCCACAGGTGCCACCAGAATTCCCTCTTGTCTGCAGAGAGGAGCTGCCGGGCAGGCAGTAGAACCTGAGACCTCAACCCCAGCCCTGCTCCACTGAGATGGCTGTGTGACCCTGACCAGGAACTTCGCCCCTCTGCTGCAGTCCCTCATCTGTAACACAGGGCACCAACTGTGCCCACCTCCCCAGGCAGCCGCGAGGAGTTCACAGCACAGTGCCCAACACGTGATAAGCCACCAATAAAATCAGCCGTTATTATCATTAACTGTGTTCCGACTCCCTCTCTCTCCTCCCAGCCGCGCTTGCCATTGCTGGTCTCAGAGCTGCTCTTGACACCTCGTCTTGAGGGAGGGACAACGTGGGTCTTGCAAAGTGCCTGCAGGCTGCCACCATCTTGGCTGGAGGTGCTGGGCATGGCGTCTCAGGGAAGCCCTAATCCAGTCCAGTTTAAGCAGCCGGGCACCACCAGCCCACTAAGGGGGGCTTTTGATTCTATTTTATTCCAAAATGAATCAAAATACTATACAAATGATCATAGGAAACAGGTTCAAGCAGTTAATAAATGTATGTCTTTGGAGTTAGACAATGCAGGTTCAAGTCCTGGCCACCTTACTCTCTGTTGGACTTTGTTATAAATTAGTTCCTATTTCTGAACTCTAGTTTCCTCACTAGCAAGTTGCAAATGATAATTGTGGTGGATGGTTTTATTTTATCCTCCTTCCAGGATCCATGAGCCTGATTTTATTTTGGCTTTGGGAGAGCCAGAAGCCATCCAATAAGAGTAACTGGGCTTTTGCTTGAAGCTCATCTCTCCATGGCCTCACAGCTGAGCACTTCAAGGACACCCCACTCCCAAATGGAGCTGGATGTCCAAGAGTGGAGCTGCCAGGAGAACCCTCAGATTGGTGGACAAATTTCGGGCTCCTGCAGGAAGCCAATCCTGGTTTTCCATTGATATTAGCTAATTAATCCTTTCTCTTTGCTTAAGCCAGTTTGAGTTGAGTGTTTTGTTACTTTCAACTAAAATTATCATGCCTAAAAAAATGAGGAAGATTCAGTATCTCATCCAAAATGCTTGGGACCAAGCATTGGGTTTTTTTCTTTCCAGATTTTGCAATATTTACATATTATTTTACCCTAATCCCTAATCTGAAAACTCCAAATCCAAAATCTTTTGAGTGCCATGTCAAATCTCGAAAAGTTTTGGATTTGGGAACATTCCAGATTTTAGATTTTTGGAATAGAGATTCTCAATCTGTAGGATCTGTCTCCTCGAATTGTTACCAGGATTCACTAAGGAAACATAAATAAAGCACTTGATCTGGTGATTAGCACAGAGTAAATGCTTATTAAATGATATTGATATTGTTATAAACTTAGCTAAAGAAAAACAAGAAAGTGAAGATAAAACAAAGAGGGAAAACTTATTCTTAATATCACTTTTAAGGAGTAGGTAAATATTTTGAAATATTTCTCTTCCAGACATATTCACATATATGTATCATTTGATATGGAGATATATATATATATATATATATATATATATATATATATATATATTTTACATCAAATCAAATTTATATATATTTCACTCCATTTCACTTGGATATAAATCAAACACATCATAAAGATTTATTTATTTTGATATCAGGGATTGAACCCCAAGGGTATTTAACCACTGAGTCACATCCCCAGCCCTTTTCATTTTTTATTTTGAGACAGGGTTTTTCTTAGTTGCTTAGAGCCTCACTAAGTTGCTGAGGCTGGCCTTGAACTTGTGATCCTCCTGCCTCAGCCTCCGGAGCTGCTAGGATTACAGGCATGTGCCACCACACCTGGCAAATATATCATAAAGATATGTCTGTGCAAGGTGGCCATTTGAAATGGCTGTATGACATTCCACATTTTCTCTGAATATTCAGGTGATCTCCAAGTTATTTTATATAAGTAATAATGTGATAATATTCCACATCCTCTGTCAATTGACTGATCCACATCTTTGTGCATTTTATGATTGTCTATCAGTTACTAAGGGTAGGACTACAGAATCTAAAAGTTTTAAATATCAAAAAACTTGTACTTTAAATATTGACATGCTTAATTTTCAAATAAAGTGTATTACTAAGGATTTACATGTTTTCACCAGACAGCAGGCACCCAGTTCTTTGGGTTGCAAATTCTGTTCCCACCAGATATTTCACGAACTCCATGACCACCCAGGAGTGGAGGGACTATGATCACTGTAACTTTGCCATCAATAAGTTGCACGACAAGCTGATTTTGCTCATTCTGAGTCTTAGTTTCTCAACTTGGGGGACCTAAATCCTTGCAGAGCCCATTCTTCTTCCCAGGTGTTTCAGGAAGCCTTCTAACGTTAATACCTGCAGGTGAATATGAGTTGCCACTTTTTTTTTTTTTTGAAATGAAACAGTAAAATTGGCAGGGTGTGGTGGCTCATGCCTATAATCCCAGCAACTTGGGCGGCTGAGGCAAGAGGATCAGAAATTTGAGGCCAATCTCAGTAACTTAAGCAACTTAGCTAGACAGTGTCTCAAAACAAAAAATGAAAAGGGCTGGGGATGTGGCTCAGTGGTTAAGCACCTCTGGGTACAATATCTGGTACAAAACAAAAAAAAAAAAGGTGAAATTGCATTTATTTGCAGATGATATGATCACTATATAGAAAATTCAGTGTAATCAATTTAGCTACAAGAACTAGTGAGTTTAGTGAGATTGCAAAATACAAGTTCAAAATATCAAAAAATCAATTGCATTTCAGTATCCTGGCAAGGAATGAATGCAAATTAAGATTTTTTTAAAAAAAAAACAGCACTAATGAGATCTCATTCACAATAGTCCCTCCGGGTTGGCATTAGACGGTATCTCCACGGCCAGTGGCTGGGCTAGAGCTGCATACTGGCTCCTGGCTGTTTCTGAGCCTCCTGGGGGCTTTTGGGGGGACAAAAACTCTGCCTGGGTCATGGCTACGCCATGAATGTGCATGGCTCCACTTGGCTCTGTCCATGCAGAGCGGCTCCTCCCTGTGGATTTGTCGTGTTCGGATGGCCCTGGAGGAGAAGGTGAGGTCATGCCTCTGGCTTACACTTGGTTGGGAGTCAGCCCAGCAGGGCTGCTTGGGACACAGAGTCTGGAGTCAAATGACACGGGCTTCCTTCTGCAAAGCCCCTTCCTCCCAGGGAGCATCCACAGTATCAGGAGACCTGTGTCCACACTGGCATCCAGACTTCCATCTGCCAGCCACAGCTGCCGTCATGCCCATGCCCGTCTGCTCCTTGGTCCTGGGCTGACCTTGACTCACTGTCCTAGGCTCCTTCCCTCCTGGGGTGGAGTCATTCTCCAGGGCTGCAGCTCCTCCTTGAAACCTGCTCCCATCGCCTCCCTGGTCCACATGCTGTCTCATGCGTGAACCTACCTCTCTGTGCCTCATCTCTGCCCCTGGGGAGGCTGCCCAGACTCAGTGGATGCAAATACCTCCTGGGCTGAAGTATCTACTGGTCTTGATGTCGCCGCCCCTCGGCCCCAGCCCCTCAGCCCCAGCCACATGGTGCATTCCGTACAGAATGTACGGTACAGGAACAGAGGGTCAGAGAGGCCCCTACCTACCCAAAATCCTCCAGCAAGTCGGATGGAGCCAGAATTTGAGCCCATTTCCCTCTGACACTGTGTTCAGTGCTGGGTCGATCCTGACCTCCAGGGCCAGCCCATCGCCCAAGAACTCCTGCAACCCAGGGTCTAGAGGGGAGGGGTGCCTGGCACAGGGATCAAGCATGGCACCCTGAAGAGATAACTGGGCAGCTTCCCATCTGCATCCCTGCACTCCAGTTCCTGTAGGCTCCATCTCCAGGGCCACCCGAGAGGACCTCCCATAGCCAGGCTCAGCTTTCCGAGCCTGGATCCCTGGGTTTGGAGGCCCTTCACCTGCCTCTGTCCCAGTGGTGCGGGGATGGGTCAGGCAGGAGGGAAGCTGGGTTTTGACAGGCAGCTGAGCTCCCCGGGCTGCAGGCCTGGCCCCTGCCCCCACCCCCATTCCAGCTGGCTCCAGAAGGGAAGGGGGGGGGCAACTTCACAGGGAAACTTTTGTTCTTGCTTCGAACAGACAGGGGCTGGGGACCGAGCTTCCCCTTGGCTGCCACGGAGACCAGGGCCACTTGAGTTCATGTTTATTTTCACAGCGTGGATTCCATGGAGATAATCGTCCCTGACAGGGAAGCCCTGGGAAGAGGGCTCCAGCCTCCGTGGAGCGCCTACTATGTGCTGAGCCAAAGACAGACAGGAGCCAGCAGGAAACTCCAGACAGACTGAGGCCTCAGACACCTCTCCACACTTGACTGGGGTGGAGACAGCCCAGAGAGGGGAAGTCACTTGCCCAAGGTCAAACAGCTGATCAGGGGAGAGCTGGACGGGGGCCACCTGCTCCCTGGCATCTCCTTACCGTGTGCCTGAGTGATGGGCACAGGAGCTCAAGGTCCTTAAGGCTTCGAGGAGGATGTGCTGCCTGGGGCTCCACGTAGGCTGGGGGCCCCAGAGCTGGGTGGATAAGAGCTGGGCATGTTTTCCATGACAGAGCCTTGAATCCAAGGGAGGCCTCGGCCAAGCGGCTAATTTTCTGGCCCTCGGTCGCTCCTCTGAGAAATGGGGCTAGCAGCAGCAGCTGTCTCATCTGAAGGCTGCGGATGCGGTGGGAGAAGGGGCCAGGTGCATGGTAGGAGCTGAGAGGTCCCCACGGTGAATGTTACTATCATGATGCTCTTCTTCCCTCACCTGCTCCTAAACTGCCTGCTCACTGTGGGCCCCAGGAGTCTCCAGCGGGCGGAGTGAGTGCCATGGCAGGAGGGTGGACCCATGGGTGAGACACTACTGTGCACAGCCCCTGAGCAACGGCCTGGAGGTGTCTCCTGGAACCACCCAGCCCTGCCTGGGGGGACCACCACCCCGCACCCTGCGTCTGGCCACCCCTGCCCGGCTCTCCTCCCGACCCCCATTCCGCATGAGTGACTTTCTGCACATGCTCTTCTGGTCAGTTCAGCTCATGCTGGAGCACACCTCGAAGCCCCATTAGACCCAACTCGCCAAGCATGACTGGCCGGCCAATCACCGGCAGGCCGGGGAGACCCGCATCCGATGCAGAAGGACCCGAGGAAACAGCCGGATCAAAACCCAAACATGGAACCAATCAAACCCTTAACCTGACACTACAAACTTCCCACAGACTTCAGAGAAATACCTCGAGGAGTGCACGACCTC